GAGGAGGAAGAAGGAGGAGGAGGAAGAGGAAGAAGAAGAAGAAGAAGAAGAAGAAGAAGAAGAAGAAGAAGAAGAAGAAGAAGAAGAAGAAGAATAAGAAGAATAAGAAGACGAATACGAAGAAGAAGAAGAAGAAGAAGACGAAGAAAAAGAAGACGAAGACGAAGACGAAGAAGAATAAGAATAAGAAGAAGAAGACTAAGAATAAGAAGAAGAAGAATAATAATAAGAAGAAGAATAAGAAGAAGAAGAAGAATAATAAGAAGAATAATAAGAAGAAGAATAATATTAATAAGAAGAATAATAATAAGAAGAAGAAGAAGAGGAGGAGGAGGAGGAGGAGGAGGAGGAGGAGGAGGAGGAGGAGGAAGGAGAAGGGGAACCATGCGGAGGATGATGGCGGATGCTGGTGAGCAATCGGAGCAGCCAGGAGGAGGAAACGGCAGGAGCGGTGGGAAAAGAGTGCGGAGGAGGGCAGGGGAAGGATCGGGAGGTGGAGGGTTGAGGACGGAGTTGGAGGGAAGGCGGGGGGGGGATGAGGCAGCATCATGCCAACGCGGAGGAGGGGAGGATTCTGACGGAGCTGGACTGAGTGATGAGGAGGAGAAGGAGGAGGAGGAGGAGGAGGAGGAGGAGGAGAAGGAGGGGGGGTCTAATGTGATGGGACAGAGCTTTGAGATGAATTGATGCAAACTGACAGTGATGAGATGAGGCGGAACTCGAGGCGGATGATGGTGATTAGGAGGAGGGGGGAGGATGAGAATTAGGATGATAATGAACATGAGGATGAGTAGGATGAGGAGGAGGAAGAGGAGGAAGAGGAGGAGGATGATGAGGATGAGGAAGATGAGACGGGGGCAGGATGTAGGGACAGGAGGTGGTGGGCAATAGAGGAGATGAGAGGGATTCGCAGAAGAGGATGGGGTGGTGAGATGAAATGTGAGAGAGGATGGGGGACTGTAGTATTGCTTGAGAGTGGAAATGGGGAACGGAGAGCGGGTCGGAGGGGAGAGTCTGAGAACATGAATGAGGACAGAGAGGAGGGACGGAGAGGCGATGATCGGGAACTGAGGAAACGGGAAGGGGGCGATATGATAAGGAGGATGAAGGAGGACTGGAGAGGGGGAAGGCCACCGGAGGTGAGGAGATCGGAGGGGGCGCAGGACGAGGAGGGAAATGCGGATTCTATCCTCTAGCTTCCTTCGTCGTCTCATGAGCATCCTGATGCTGTCCATCATGTCAGCGTCGGTGTACCTCGTACACTTGGTAGGGGGCGTTCGCTGTAGACCACAGCGCAACGAGATCTTCGGCGCAGCCGCGATGACGCATGGTTCGCCCTCTTGATGCCTCTGTCGTGGTATTTCCCCGCATTTTGACTAACCTACTTTCTTGGGCCCTCGTACGTAAGTTCCCCAAGCAGTTATCGACCGCCCGACCAGGCTGGTCGCTGCAGAATAGGCCATTCGTTCGCCGCGCAGGTAGCGCCAGCCAAACTTGTCTATACTCATGACCGCGTTGCTTCCGCAGCCTCGCACTGTGCCAGAACTCGAAGTAGGTGGCAGCATCATCGTCATCGGCAGTCGTCGTCACCCCTGCTCTACATGTGGCAACGGCATCACCATTATCAGCCATTTGCTGCTTGAGCCTAGGTCACCCACGGGGGCGCGAGGGAAATCGCGCTTCGCGCGTCGCGGCCTTGGCGGGAGGAGAGTGCACCTTTCTCCAGGGGACGGCGTGAACGCATGAAGATATCGCGCGTCGCGCGGCGCGGTGCCCGACGTTGGGTGATCCAGTTGAGCGCGCTACGGGAAACGGCTCCTTTGGCCCTCCATTGGTTTTGGGGTCGTCTGTGGGGAAGACGGAACCCGAGCGTCCTTGGAACGGGCCCTCCATTGGCCTTGGGATCGTCCTCGGAACGGGCCCTCCACGGGTTTTTGGAAGCGGCTCAGGATGAAAAACTGGTCCTGGGGGAAGGCCCCTGGGTCTAGGACGCGTTTCCCTCATGACACGATTGTCTCATGCCAGTCCAGGCCGTCCCCCGAAATCGGTGGGGCGATTTTAGCCGACACGAGAGCCATTTGCGGCAACGCACTCGTGCAGAGTGCGCCGCCACCTCTGGTGCTCGTTTCATTCGGACATGCGGCGAAGCTATCATTCAGACGCGTTTGGCAATGCCTATCTGCATGCGCCAGGGGGCCACTCTGCTGGTCCAGGTAGTGCGAGCGGTTTGAATTCGGCCGTGGTCCCACCAGCCGTGCAGGAGGAGCGTTGCGAGGGGTGTATGGTGTCCGTGCCGCGATGTTCTGATATATGGTAGTGGTGCCCGCGCAGGTTGGCATGCCAAGCATTCTGCCAGAGGTCTAAGTAGTCGGGGAACAACAAGTGACATAAATATACAAACTCGGAGGTCCGCGCGGATTTCTCGGATCGGCGCTGGACCCCCGTCCCTGGCGAGCGGAGCGCGCCAGGGGCGGCGCCGGAGGCGCCGCCGGGGGCCCCCAGCGCCGATCCGAGAAATCCGCGCGGACCTCCGAGTTTTTGTGTTTATCTCAAGTTGTTGTTCCCCTAAGCAGGCAGCGGAAGGATGGTGCTGTGTGTGTCGCCTTCCTCGTTTTGCGGTGTGCCCCGTGCATGTCTGTGCGCATTGTCGCAAGCACCACGGTCACGACGGTTACTCCAGATTTCGTAATAAAGAGAGGGGGGTCTCATTTCGGGGGGGGGTCTCTCCCAGGCTATCTTGGAGGGCCTGTGGGGGTCTGGGGACGATGTTTTGGAGGGTTCTCCCACGGGGGGGTCTAAAACTTCTCGTCTGGGAGGGTTGAGACCCCCCTCCCTTTATTACGAAATCTGGAGTAAGGACTGCGTCGTCAGCCAGCGACCCTCAGTGATGGTCGCCGCCTGGTCTTCGGGTCGTGGCTCGGGTGTCCGGCGGCCGCTCGGGGCGATCCTGGGCACCAGAGGACGCCGCTCGGCGAGGCGCAGCTGCGGAGGAGCACCCCGAGGCTGGAGAATCGCGGAGAAACCAACGAAAACCCGGCATGACGGAAGGAGGATGAGGAGGAGGAGGAGGAGGAGGAGGAGGAGGAGGAGGAGGAGGAGGAGGAGCTGGCGGAGGAGGAGGGAGGAGGAGGAGGAGGAGGAGGAGTGGCGGCGGAGGAGGAGAGGAGCAGCTGGAGGAGGAGGAGGAGGAGGAGGAGGAGGAGGAGGAGCTGGCGGAGGAGGAGGAGGAGGAGGAGGAGGAGGAGGAGGAGGAGGAGGAGGAGGAGGAGGAGGAGGAGGAGGAGGAGGAGGAGAGGACGAGCTGGCGGAGGAGGAGGAGGATGATGAGGAGCAGGGGGTCGTGAGGCACCGTGTTGGCTCAAGAGTCTCGCGTGGCTCAGGGGGCCCAATCCGAAGACGTCTGCTGCGAACCAACGTACACTCTGACGAGGCATGCTTGTTCTGTGGCTATCGCTGATCTCTTGGAGTACGACGGCGTGCCTTGCGAGCCGAACCCTCGCAGCTGTTCTCGCGAACGTGTCGGATGCCGCAGGCACTGGGTGGGTTGGAACTCCCCTTGGCCCCAGAGAAGGATATATACCGCTGCCGCTGCTCGTCCCGGAGATCTCGTCGCCACGGCTGGGTGCGCCTCGAACTCCTGATCAGAACCCACGCCAGGAGAGGTACGGGAAGCAGCGGTATCGGTATCTGTGTGTTCCGCCACAACACCCGCAGACAGCGACGAGAAGGATGGCGGTTGTCGGAGGAGAGGGACAGGAAGGAGGCGGAAGAGGGGGACCATTCGTTCCAGCTCCTCCTCCTTCCCATCGTGTCGCGCTTCCTCCTCTCCTCTTCCTCCCTCTGGTCGTGGAAGGGGGGGGTGCGGTCAAGGTTGAAAGCAACTGGCGTCAGCAGTCTTTGGGGCTCGCCCGACCGCCCAGGCGGCAATGGGAGGGCGCAGATCTGCTCGTCCTGCGACGAGTACGGCTGGGCGTACTGCATGGGGTGCTCCGCCAGCTGCAAGTGGCGCAGCGGGGTGCGCGGGACGACAAACACGAGGACGACATGGCTGAAAGACAGTGACTGATGCGACACTCGTTCTGCTCCCGATCCCGGTTCGTGCCCTGCTGCTGCTGCTGCTGCTGCTGCTGATCCTCCTCTTCCCTCCTCCGTCGCCCTCCTTCTCCCCCGTCCTCCAGCATCGCTCCTCCCGACTTCCTCCACTTCCTCCGCTCCTTCCTCCTTCCTTCCTCCTCCTCCTTCCCCTCTTGCCCTCCTGCTCCTCTTCACCATCCCTCCTCTTCCTGCTCCTGTTCCTTCTCTCCTTCCCTCCTTCTTGCGTATCTCTCTCGCTCTCTCTCTCTCTGTCTTTCTGTCTTCGCCGAGCTATGGGGGAGGCCCCGTCCGCAGCGTCTCTCCACCTCTCTCTCCTCCTGCTCTTGGTGCTGCCCTCCCTCCACAGTGCGCTCCCGCGCGACTCCGCGCGTGCGGTCGCGCACGATTAGGGGAGTAGGAGTAGGAGGAGGAGTATGAGGAGGAGCAGGAGGAGGAGGAGGACGAGGACGAGGACGAGGAGGACCAGGAGGACCAGGACGAGGACGAGGACGAGGACGAGGAGGAGGAAGAGGAGGAGGAAGAGGAGGAGGAGTAATAGCAATCTGGTGGTGACGATGGTGATGAGGAGGGAGGTGCTGGGTGAGGAGGATGTGGCGGATGAGAAGGGAGGGAGGAGGGGGGCAGGACGATGCCGAGGACGATGCTCGTGGTGACGACTGTGACTGTGATGCGGCGGAGGAGGAGGAGGAGAAGGAGGAGGAGGAGGAGGAGAAGGAGGAGGAGGAGGAGGACGACCCATCCCACGCCGTTTTTTTTCACCATGTAGGCCCCCCCGAAGCTTCCGTCCCGCTCCCCGCGACGGACGCCTCGCCGCGGGCCGCCCCCGCACGGGCCCCCCCGGGCCAGTCGGCGACGCGGCGCTCGGCCGTCGCCTGCGTGGGAGACTCCGTGGGGCCCAGGCTCTTTCCCGAGGGCGGCGGCGTCCCCAGACCCCCTCGAACGAACGAACGAAGCGCCGTGCACGTCAGGGGTGCGTTGGCAAATAAGTGAAACAGCAAGTTCCGCTGCCGGAGGCGCGGCTGCGAATCAAGAAGACGCCGCGCAGACACCGACAGCGACGACGGCGGCGGCGAAGGGGGGGAAGACGACGAGGGGGAGGAGGACGAAGGCGAGGAGGAGGGCGAGGAGGGAAAAATCATTCAGGAGGGGACCAAAGACACACAGACACAATTCATCGTCGATCCCCAGGGAAATGTGGGAAGCTATGGGAAGTGGGGGGGAAGACGAACACCCAGAAAATATGAAAAAGTATAGGGAATCCTTTTATATTGGTGTGTATTTATTTCTGTGTCCCATGGCGCCTTCAATCATGACGGTAGGTTCTTCGACATCTTCGGCCTCCGGGGACCCCTGCCGGGCCGCGGGACCGTCAACAAAAACAGCTCGGGGTGAGAAACTGGTCCTGGGGAGTGGGTCGAGACCTCGGGGGTCGACGTCATGAAAAGATCATGACGTCGGGGGTCTGGGTCGGCAGGGGGTGGCCCCGACCGCAGCTTTCAGTCGGGCCTGTCCCTCTACGGGAGGAATATTCACAAGGAGTCCAGACATGGTCTGGGGACGACTGTTCGATTATCTTTGTGACTATTTGAGAGCATCTTCTGACACTTGTAAGTTTTCGCCCAGCATCCGCCTGTAGGAGGACATGCCCGACCTACGGTGGGGGCGTTTGTTAGGGAATGCGCCCAGGATGCCCCAGACCCTGGAGGAGTCCTTCTCTGATGAGGGCGGCGACGATACTCATGGCCGATCCACGATGGGAGCTCCACTGGCTTCCAGACCCTGGATTCCTTATCTAAGGGTTCCTTATCCGATGCCCTCGCCGTAACCGTAGCTCCCCGCTTCGCAGCGATACCCGCCCGGCTCGCCGAGGCGTGCATGCACAAGTGCTCGAGCTGCTGCGGGCTCTCCGACGGCTGCCCCGTGAGCTACTGCACCTGCCAGCAGGGCGCCAACGTCCTCGGGCGGGGCCGGGCCGGAAGCCGGCGGGGCGGTGCACCGGGGTGCCGCCAGGGGGCCTCGGGCTTCAGGTCTCCGACGGTGCTTCTGTGGCTGTGCCATCCCAGACATCTCGCGTCGTAAAGAAGTCAGGAGTTTTTTTCTCCAAAATATCAGATATGTACATATAAATGCATAGATGTGTATATATATATATATATATATATATATATATATTGTTTTTGTTCCTCCTATTTGCGGCTCCATGGGGGCCCTCGCCGGGCCCCATGACCGTCAACAGGACGACTCAGGACGAGAGGCCGGCCCCGGGGAGAGGGTCTGGACTTCCGGGGGCGCCGTCCTGACACAGTCAGGACGCCGCATGTCCGGGAGCTGGCTGTCGATCCCCGCTTCGGGACCCCCCCGCGGGGCCCGTCCGCGGGCCTGCGGGGGCGCGTCGAGGACGGGGGCCCCGGGCGAGGAGGCGCGAGCGCCCGGGCAGAGGGCCCGGGGGGGCGCTGCCCGGGGTCGCTGCTGCCGGGCCCTCGGGGTCCAGGCGTCGCGGCAGAAGTATGCGGCAGGAGGTTTGCGTTTTTCAAGCAGTGGCGGAGCGTCCCGGCTCGCCTATAGCCCTACCAAACAATGTTCTAAGAACCTCTTGTGGTTTCCACGCAATGTTCTTAGACCATTTCTGGTTGATGTTGTCTTGTTTTAACACATCGGGTTTATGTTCTAAGAACATGGTTTTTGTTCTTAGAACTTTCTTGGGTTCTAAGAGCATTTCGTGGTATGACTGTAGGAATGCCAGGACGGTCGGCCCCTGCTCAAGTTTTGGCTCCCCGAACTCTAGGCCTCTCGGATGGGGTCGGAGTAGATGGGCCCGGAGGATCGCACCGCATCGCCGATGCATCGCCGATGCATCGCCGATGCGGTTCGATGCGGAGCCCGACTTTCTCCGCGCTGGCGTCGCCGATGCACCGCGCTGGCGTCGCCGATGCGTGCCGCGCGATCCTCCGACCCCATCTACTCGGACCCTATCTAGGTGGCCTGTACAAACAGTGTTTCGATTTCGGGGTTCTTGTTTCTCTCGCTTGGGAGTTGGTTAGGTCCGTCGAGGTTTCGCCGCGTCGCCGCCCGTTGCCGCCGCGTTTCCGCCTCGTTGCGGACCACGCCCGTTGCCGCCTCGTGGCCGCCGCGTTGCCGCCTCGTTGCCGCCTCGTTGCTACCTGCTTGGGTGGGGCCGCCTCGCTGCCGCCTCGTGGCAGCCTCGTTGCCGCATCGCTGTCGCCTCGTTGCCGCCCGCTTGGGCGGGGCCGTCGAGGTTTCGCCGCCTTCGCCCTCCTCGTTGCCGCCGTGTGGCCGCCTCGTGGCTGCCCGCTCGGGGTGGTCTCGAGGTGTCGCCGCGTCGCCGCCTCGTTGCCCCCTCGTCGCCGCCTTTTTGCCGCCCCCTTGGGGGGTCCGTCCACAGTTCGCCGCGTCGTCGCCCGTTGCCGCCGCGTTGCCGCCCACTTGGGGGGGTCCGTCGAGGTTTCGCCGCGCCGCCGCCTCGTTGCTGCCTCGTTGCCGCCCGCCGCTCTTTGGGGGCCCGTCGAGGTGTCACCACCCAGCTTACGCCAGCTAGCCTGCCCTGCGCAGATGGCACCACAGGAGGCGTTCCAGAAAGGGCCTCTCGCCTTGGAGGGTCGAAGGAGTTGGCGTCTCCTCCTCGGCGGAAGGGGGTGGAAGTGCGGCGGAAGCCCGCGGAAGAAGAAACGAGGGCGCCTCCGCCGGCGGAAGCCGGCTGAATCAGCGAGCGAAGAACAGTATAGAATAATCTTTTTCGCTGTCGGGGGCGCCTGTCCCTGGGCGGCTGGAGAGTTTATACCCCTACGGTGCCACCGTAAGGGTATAAACTTTCCAGCAGCCCAGGGACAGGCGCCCCCGACAGCGAACCAGTTTATGTTATACCGTTCTTCGCCCGTTAACTGAAGCTCGGCGGAAGCCGGCGGAAGTAAAAGGTGCCCCCAAGAGATGGCCAACTTGTTTGGTTTCTGGAGCCCGCCACGTAGCTTACACATTGGGGTCCGCGCTTGGCAACAGTTGGGGTCCACGCTGACTAGCACTTGCTTGTTATTGATTTGTCCCGCGTCCCATGTGGGTTTCTCGTTTTCTCTGCACCCTTCCGCGCAGGAACCGGCCTCCTCACACTCCGCTGCCGTCCTTCTACACACCATCACCATCATCATTATCATCATCATCATCATCACCATCATCATCATCATCAGGCGTAATCACACACTCACGCACACTCACTCACATGTTCCCATATGAGCACTCACTCATACACTCACTATTTTACTCGCATACACATACTCCTCCTGAGAAAGTCTCGAGCAGGAACGTCGTCTGTGAGTGATTCATGAGGGTGTCATCGTAATCGTCATCATCATCGTCATCACCATCATCACCATCATCATCATCGTCATCATCATCATCATCATCTTCATCATCATCTTCATCGGAGAGCTCGAAAAATCGCATGACCCTCATCATCAGCATCATCATCATGAACCTAATCATCTTTACCGTCATCGGCATCGTCATCTTTCCCCACATCCTGAGTGTGTCTCTTGTTTTCTGTGGACCCCCCGTGCAGGAACAGGAACACCCACTCGGACGCACCATCATCATCACCACCATCATCACCATCATCAGCATCATCATCATCATCATCATTATCATGCTCATCATCTTCATCATCATCATCGTCGTCGTCGTCATCGTCCTCGTCATCTTCATCACCAGTATCGTCATCATTTCCATCATCTTCACCATCGCCATCGTCATCATCATCGCCATCACCATCATAACCACCACCACCACCCACCACCACCACCACATCCATTCGCACATATACACATACATGTACATACACATACATTTACGTATACACATACATATACATATACATATACACATACATTTACATTTACATATACATATATATATATATATATATATATATATATATATATTTACATATACATATGCATGTACATATACATACACATATACATATACATATACATATACATATACATTAACATACATGCATACATACACACATACATGCATGCATGCGTACGTACACATATGGTTGCATGCACATGGACCTGCATACACACCTGCATACATACATACACACACATACGTATGTACATGCATGCATACTCGCATACACACATAGATACCGGCAGCCGCACATCCATACAGTGTTCAGGTATCCACGCATGCATGCATACATACATACTTTCACCCACACACTCATGTATACATGCATGCATCTATACACATACACATGCATGCATACACACTTACAGGTATGTATACATGCGTGCAGTCATACAACCATACAAACATACATCCAACCGTTCATACATACGCACACACATACACATATACATACTCGCATACACACAAGCATGCATGCATGCTTACATGCATGCGTACATACATTCATGGATGCAGGCGCACGCGCAACCATTCATACACACTCTCATGCATCCATGCATACGTACATGCACACACATACACATATACACCCATCCATACATACGAACATACGTATATACACGTACACACATGCACACACACACGTGCATGCATGCATGCATGCATACATACATACATACGTTCGTACGTATGTACGTACGTACGTGCAAACATCCATACAACTGTACATCCATACATGCATACACCCATACATGCATTCATACACACGTACATACATACATACATGCAGACATCCATCCATCCATCCAACCATGCATGCGTACATACATAGCACATGTGCGCTCACATACACATCTATACGAAATCATCGACATACATTTTTATATAGTGATATCGCACGCACAGATACAATTTCTTTATGTATATGTATGTTTGCACACATGTACACGTCTATCGTTTTTTTCTTTTTTTTGTCTCTCTCTCTCTCTCTCCCTCCCTCTCTCTATGTATATATATATATATGTATGGTCCAGGGCTTGGGCCCCCCCCCCAATGCTGATGCCATTGGCCCCCCCCCCCGCGCGATGGTCCCCCCCGCCCCCCCCTGTGGGCGTGGCGTGGTGCTGCGCTGCGGTGCCCCCCTCCCCCCCCCCTGTGGATGTGGTGTGGTGCTGTGGTGGTTCAGAGGTGGGCGTGGCGTGGTGCTGTGGATGTGGTGTGGTGCTGTGGTGGTTCAGAGGTCGTCGTCGTCCTCGTCGTCGTCGTCGTCGTCGTCGTCGTCGTCGTCGTCATCGCCGTCGTCGTCGTCGTCGTCGTCGTCGTCGTCGTCGTCGTCCTCGTCGTCCTCGTCGTCCTCGTCGTCCTCGTCGTCCTCGTCGTCGTCGTCATCGTCGTCGTCGTTGTCGTCGCCGCCGCCGCCGCCGGCGTCGTCGCCGCTGCAGCCGTCGTCGTCGTGGTCGTCGTCGTGGTCGTCGTCGTCGTCGCCGTCGTCGTAGTCGTCGCCGTCGTCGTCGTCGTCGTCGTCGTCGTCGTCGTCGTCGTCGTCGTCTCTGGGACCATACCATCTGGGGGGGGGGGGCCCGAGGAATCCTGGGACCATACCATCTGGGGGGGGGCCCGTGGGCCCGGAGCCCGGGACCATATATGATGCATGGGGACAGGGCAGGGGGAGGAGGAGAGGCAGGGGGAGCGAGGGAGGAGGAGGAGGGAGGAGGAGGAGGAGGAGGAGGAGGAGAAGGAGGACGAGGAGGAGGAGGAACAGGAGGCTGGTGAGGAGGAGGAGGGGAGGAACAGGAGGCTGGTGAGCAGGAGGAGGAGGAGGAGGAGGAGGAGCAGGAGGAGCAGGAAGGAGGACGAAGAGGAGGAGGAGGAGGAGGCGGGAGGGGGATCGCCCCTGCCTCTCGCTGCCGGCCCGCCCCCCATAGGGCGCTCTCGACCGACTGCCCCGAGCCGAGCGCGGACCCGTCGGACGACGCGCGCAGGTTCCAGCTGTTCACGCCGCGCGCCTCCGGGGGCGGCGGGGCGTACGTGGCGGTGGAGCTGTCGCGGCCCAGCTGGGCCGACCTGCGCCCGCGCCTCGTGCTGCACTGGCACCAGGAGCCGCCCGCATCGGGCCCGCGCGGGCGGATGGCGCGCGAGGGCTCTCCTGCACTGGGCTTACGTCGGGCGTGTCCCCCATACAGAGGGAGTTTCGACGAAACATAAAAAATACACAACAAAATGCCCCCAAAAGGTCAGAAAAGATTCAAACAATAGTCCCCATATCATTTTTGGAGTATGTTTTGATTATTTTTGGGGTATTTCTTTTTTGTTCGTCGAAAATCCCCCTGTAGGGGGACAGGCCCGACTTAACACTGGGCTCAACGCAACTTTGTGCACCAGCTTTTCTGCCGAGGACGTGCCAGCATGGCTTGAGGCGCGTGGATTGGCGACGGTCCCCCACTTCCATACGACATCGGTGAGCTCCGTCGCCAAAGCAGGCGGCACTGGTCTCAGGGTCCAGATGCACGGATCCGTAATCCCTGTCAGCGTGTGCCTGAGTTTGATCGGTTAAGGAGCCTAGAAACTCGGCGAAGGACCAGACGACTTTGTTTATGTCTCGAGCGTCTCACATGCACGTAAGGTGGCGAGGGCGACGACGAGGTGGCTTCCCAACGTCGAGATACGATCCAGCAGCTTCGTCTTGCCGAGATTGTTCCTGGGGTGCCCGAGTCGTTCCGAACGGCCGCTGGAAGCCCAACTTGTGACCCGAAAGCCAGGCGACCCTTCGTCGCAGTGCCATTCGGGTGCGCGGTTTTCAGCGCGGGGGGTCCACACCCGGCCCAGGATCACTCCTTGCGTGAGGCTGGACGAGCAGAAGACATGCAACGGCGTCCTGGACTCAACTCACAGCGGCGGGCCTTTCACGCTTTCGGCGCTTTTCGGGCCCCAGGGCCCACGATCCGCCGATTTGCGATCCACGGGGCGGAGTCCAGGCGGAAAAAGAGAAGAGGGAGAGCTCCGTATCCTGACGGATCGAGAAGCGGTAACGATGCTTGAGGATTTGCTGGGTCAGGCCAGCTGGCTTGGTTTGGGATGCCCCTCTGCGTCTTCAGGCCTGGAGGCCTATGTAGTACTCTGGGGGGTCGTGGGGGGGCGGGGTCGCTGGTGGAGGGCCGACGGGGCGAGATGCTGAGGAGGCAGGGCGAGAAGGAGGATGATGATGAGGAGGCGGAGAAGGAGGAAAGGAGAGGAGAGGAGGAGGAGAGGGAGAAGGAGGTGGAGAAATGAGGATGTAGGAGGATGAGGCGGATGTTGGAGGAGGGATCAAGATCTGTCAGGGAGCATGGAGGATAAGGGGACATAGGTATCAGGATCATGCGATATATGACGAAGGGGCATGGTGGACAGTGGGTATATCTTTATATATTGATGTGTATATATATATATATATATTTATAGTCATTTATGCTGCGGGACAATAATGGAAACATCAATAACATGGAGGATATAGCAGCATGAGTAATACTGATGCTGACGAAGCTGCGGCTGCTCATGCTGATGATTATGATGATGACGGTGATGCTGATGCTGCTGATGATTATGGTAATGATGTTGGTGATAATGCTGATGATGGTGGTGATGATGCTGATGATGACGATGATGATGCTGTTGTTGTTGATGATGATGATGCTGATGCTGATGCTGATGCTGATGCTGATGCAGATTATGATGCTGCTTCTGCTGATGATGATGAGGAGACGGAAACTTAGGATCATGATGATGCCGAGGAGCAGGAGGTCGATGAGGCTGCCCAGACGAGCTGGCAGGGCGCTCGGCCGATGGGGCCATTCCGGCGCTCAGGAGCGCGCAATATCGAGGAGGAGGGGGAGGAGAAGGGAAGAACATAATTCAGGAGGGGAAAAACACACAGACACAATAAATCCTCGATTCCCGAGAAAATATTGGAAAATATCGGAAGTGGGGGGAAGACGAACACCCAGAAAATATGGGAAAATATAGGGAATCGGGTTATTTGTGTGTATTTATTTGTGTGTCCCAGGGTCCCTTCAATAATGGCTGGAGGCGGAGGAGCATCATGAGGAATAATACGCAGATGGGGGCGATCATGATGGTTAGGTGGCAGAAGACTGCGATGCACAGGTTGCTGCTGGTGGTAACGGCGATCTGTGCTGATGAAGGTGCCGATGATTCTTCTGCTGCTGCTGCTGCTGCTTCTGCTGCTGCTGCTGCTGATGATGATGATGGGGGGTGATGATGATGATGCTGGAGATGAATATGATGATGGGCATGATGATGCTGATGATGCTAATGATGATGATGGTGATGATGATGCTGACGATGATAATGGTAATGATGATGATGATGATGATGATGATGATGATGGTGATGATGATGATGAGGATGAGGATGATGATGATGATGATGATGATGCTGCTGATGATGATGATGCTGATGCTGATGATGATGATGATGATGATGATGCTGATTTTCATGATATTGCTGATGATGATGGGGAGGAGGAGGGAGGAGGAGGAGCAGGATGACCAGTGTCAACCCACAAATCATCAACGATGTTGGAAGACACCCTCCCTCCAAGCTCCCTCTTCATAGGCCCCTACAACGGTTCATTTCCACAGGGGACTGCCTCGTTGGAAAACCGTTTGAAGAGCCTGAAGCGTGCCAAAACATTATTCTCCGGACTCCGCCACGGATCAACCTGACTGTTGCGTCTTGACGATCCTGAATCGTGCCAGAACGCCATTCCTGGGACCCCAACACCGCGAATCAACTTAACAGTTGCACCCTCGATCCTGACCCTTCTAAAGCGCCATTTTCTGGTACGTTGACCATAAGAACACACGAAACGCGCGCGGCGCTCAGGCGAGATCCACATATTGAGAACGACCGGCCCTCAATCTTTGGAACGCTTGCAAAGTTGTAAAAAGAATGCGTGCAGCGCTAAGGCGAGAGCCATACGTTGACAATGACACGCCTTCAATATGTGAAACTGTTGCCAACTCTTCAGCTCCAGGGTTATAAATCGTGCGGAAGTCATTATGGTGCAAAGTTTGAAGACGAATGTGTGCCGCGCTAGGGCGGGAACCATATTTTGAAAACGATCCGCCCTCACTCCGTGCAACTTCTGCATTTCCTTCCGAAGAAAGCAAAAAACGAATGTGCGCGGCGCTGAAGCGCGAGCCAAAATTTGAAAATGACCCGCCCTCAATCCGTGAAGCCGTATAAGATTTAAAGCGAATGTGCGTCACGATAAGGCCAGAGCCAACTTTTGAAAATGACCCACCCTCAATCCGTGAAGCTCTTACAACTTGATAAGCGAATTTGCGCGGCGCTGAGGCGAGAGCCACATTTTGAGAACCACCCGCCCTCAATCCGTAAGACTCTTGCGTTTTTTTGCAACGAATGCGTGCGGCACTGAGGCGAGAGCCACATTTTGAAAACGATCCGCCCTCAGCCCGTGAAGCTCTTGCACCTGGTTCAAGCTAATGTGCGCGGCGCTAAGGCGAGAGCCACATTTTGAGAACGACCCGCCCTCAATCCGTGGAACTCTTTGCAAATGTTTAAAACGAATGGGCGCGCCGCTAAGGCGAAAGCCACCTTTTGAACATGACCCGCCCTCAATCCGTGAAGCTGTTGCCAACTCTTAAGCTCTAGGGTCATAAATGGTGCGGGACTCATAATGGTTCAAACTTTGTCAGCGAATGTGTGCCGCGCTAGGGCGAGAGCCACATTTGGAAAACGATCCGCCCTCAGTCCGTAGAACTCTTTGCAAATGTGTAAAACAAATGGGCGCGCCGCTAAGGCGAAAGCCACCTTTTGAACATGACCCGCCCTCAATCCGTGAAACTGCTGCCAACTCTTACCTTAAGCTCTAGGGTCATAGATGATGCGGAAGTCATACATGGTGCAAATTTTAAAATCGAATGTGTGCCGCGCTAGGGCGAGAGCCATATTTTGGAAACGATCCGCCCTCAATCCGTGCAGCGTCTACAATTTCAAAAAATGAAGAACGAATGTGCGCGGCGCTAAGGCGTGAGCCACACATTGAAAACCACCCCCCCTCAATCCGTGATGCTCGTGTTAGTTTTTAAAGCGAATGTGCGCCGCGCTGAAGCGCGAGCAGCATTTTGAAAACGACCCGCCCTCAACCCGTGAAGCTCTTGCAACTTGATAGATCGAATTTGCGCGGCGCTGAGGCGAGAGCCACATTTTGAGAACCACCCGCCCTCAATCCGTAAGACTCTTGCGTTTTTTTGCAACGAATGCGTGCGGCACTGAGGCGAGAGCCACATTTTGAAAACGACCCGCCCTCAACCCGTGAAGCTCTTGCAACTTGATAGATCGAATTTGCGCGGCGCTGAGGCGAGAGCCACATTTTGAGAACTACCCGCCCTCAATCCGTAAAGCTCTTGCGGTTTTTTGCAACGAATGCGCGCGGCGCTAAGGCGAGAGCCACATTTCGAGAACGACCCGGCTTCAATCCGTAATCTCTTGCTCACGTTTGAAGCCAATGTGCGCGGCGCTAAGGCCAGAGCCACATTTTGAAAATGACCCGCCCTCAATCCGTGAAACTGTTGCCCAGTCTTAAATTCCAGGGTCATAAATGGTGTTCAAGTCTCAGGCGAAACGCACGGCCCGTAATTTCGACAGGGAGAAGTTATTTGCAAGGAAAATGAATGGAGGAGGACTAGGAGGCGGAGAATGACGACGATTAGGTGCGTCCCGTCTTTTTTCGTCCTCGCCCTCAATCCGTGAAACTGTTGCCCAGTCTTAAGTTCCAGGGCCATAAATGGTGTTCAAGTCTTAGGCGAAACGCACGGCCCCGAAGTTATTTACAAAAGAAAATGAATGGAGGAGGAGTAGGAGGCGGAGAATGCAGACGATTCGGTGTGTCCCGTTCTCTTTCGTCCTCGCTCGTTCGGGACCACGTCCGGGTACATGCTGACGAACTCCCTTCGCCGCCCTCGCCCTCGCCCTCGCCGACGCTGCCCGAAATTGGCAGGCGCCGTGCCGGCGGTCTGGTCTCAACGACTCAGCAAGGAGCTACAGGTACGAGGCTGCAATGTGGAGCGGGTCGGGTTTCGGAAGGGGCTCGCTGTTCATGAGGTCCTTCCGTCGTTGTTTCTGTGGCGCTCTTCGTGCACCCATGCGCTTTGGGGGAAGAGGAGCTTCGTCACTAGTGGAACGAACAATGACATAAACGTATAAACTCGGAGGTCCGCGCGGGTTTCTCGGATCGGCGCTGGACCTCCCAGGCGGCGCATCCAGCGAGGGGGTCAAGCGCCGATCCGAGAAATCCGCGCGGACCTCCGAGTTATTCTGTTTATGTCGTTGTTCGTTCCTCTAGTTACTTATCTGGTGTATCCGAAGGTAGTAGCTTGACAGCACAGACAAAATTCTGGTCGCCTGTCGCCCATCCCTCCCCCGAGCCTTGGCTAGCGGGCCAGAGGCCCCTCGGATGCATGTCTGGGTCTCTCGAGATGCCTCTCGGTGGCCTGGCCCGTAGGCTCTTCGGGGCCCCTTGGGGCCTCCTGGAGGCCTCCCTCTTGCGGGGGCGCCCTGGGGGCCTCTGGGGGGGGGGTCTTTGAGCCATCTCGGGGTGGAGGGCCCGAACTGTCAGTTCGCGTTCCCCCGCCTTGGCCCCTCCTGGGGCCGTCGTGGCGGCCCTTCTAGGCCGCCTGAGGGTCTTCTTGGGCCGTCCTGTGGCCCCTTCGGTGGCCTCCTGGGACGTCTCGGGGCGGTCTTGGCGGCCTGCTGGGCCGCTCTGGAGCTTCGGAAGCCCAGAATAAGGAGAACGCCGAAATCATTCAACGATCGAAGGAGCACTGGTTATAAGTATGTTTGCTTTGGGGGGCCTCTTGCGGGGTCTCGTGGAGTCCTCTTGGGGGGTCTTGGGGGCCTCTTGGGCCGTCTGGAGGCCCTCTTGACGCGTCTTGGGGTCCTCTTGGGCCGTTACGGGGCAGCTTCGGCCCTCTTGGGACTTTTTTGGGGCTCTTGTGGCCCGTCCTCTGGCCATGGAGCAGTAACGCGACAGGCCCCAAGAGGTCTGCGTCAAGACGCGGCACACCACGGGAACTCCGGCAACTTTCTGGGGTCTGGGCCCTTCGATATTCCGTTGTTCAAGACTGAGGACTCAGTATTCGAAGGACCTGTGGGCACTCCACCGCGTGCCTTGTGGAACGCGATCAATACAGAGGAGGTATATTGCAAAATTATTTCCAGATGCCTCAATAATCTTTTTTGAAAGTGTGAAGCATGTGAAGCCATATAACACATGTTTGAATCATGTAAGCACCGTGTGCAAGCCATCCTTAAATCATGTGTTGGAATAATTCAAACACGTATCACATCCAGTTTCGACACATGTGTTTAACTCCATGTTAGGTCTGATGAAATGTCCATAGTCATGGCATCCACAACTCGTGCCTGAGCTGCCCGCGTGAGGTCGCGCGTGAGCGCGCTCGTCTCCACTGTGGCTTGCCGCGCTGGCGGCCCGCGTAAGCCACCGCGGGAGGTCGCTGCGTCATCTCGCGTAAAGCCTGGTTTTATCGTCGCCACATGTTAACTCAAGGTTAGGTATGTTGGAGTGTCCCTCGGCATGGTATCGGCAATCAGTGCCTCGCCGCACGGTGGCGGCCATGTCAGTGGGCAACCCGCGCGCGCGAGGAGTGGGTCGTGAGGATGACGCGGCAGTTCTGGGGCTGTAGCCCCTCGGCAACCGGGGGCGGGGGCTGCTCGTGGAAGAGGACCGGGGGGGGGCAGCAACAGGAACGGCTCGCCTCCTCCGTTCTCCTCCCTCCCCCTCCTCCTCCATCTCCTCCTCCTCCTCCTCCTCCTCCTTCCCCTCCCCTCCTCCTCCTCCTCCTCCTCCTTCTCCTCCCCATCCCTGTCCTCCTCCTCCCTCCTCCTTCTTTTCCTCCTCCTCCTCCTCCTCCTCCTCCTCCTCCTCCTCCTCCTCTTCCTCATCCTCTTAATAGCTGCCGCGGGCTCCCGAGGGGGGGGGTCGTCCCGCCGCGCGATTCGCAGCAGCGCATCGGCGGGGAGCTCATGGGATGGTGGGAGCCTGGCGCATCCGAGCCGCGCTGGGCTTACTCGGAGGAGGCGCAGGCGGCGCCGTCGCGGGCTCGCCGGCAGCCCGTCACGCCTCCCCGCCGGCGCGGAGTGGTGGCGGAGGCGGTCGGTGCGGCAGTGCAAGCCGCGGTCGAGGCGGCGCGGGCCAACCAGCAGGTGCAGGTGCCAGTGCCCTGCAAGGCAAGGCCAACATCGCGCCCCAGGCTGACCGCGACGCCGCAGCTGGCGATCTGCGACGTGCCGCCCAGTCCGCCGCCTGGCGAGTGGGGGCGCCCGCCCTCGCCGCCGTCGAGGATTTCGGCGCCGCGGAGCTCTGGGCACTTGCGTGCTGTGCGCACGGAGGTGCGAGCGCCGTCGAGCAGAAGGCGTACTGGGACAAACTCGCCGTCCAGTCGGCGGGTGGAGGCCAAGAAATGCATGAAGGACAAGAAGAAACACCACAATACATAAGTAGAAGAAGGACCAGAAGGTGAAGGATCGCAAAGGGCCATTCGCGATCGAGGAGGAGGAGGCCGAGGTCGCTGGAGTCGCCTCCATCGGGCTGGCGTGGACCTGGACCACAGGCAGCGTGAGCTGCCCTGGCCACCTGAGGGAGGGCGCTGGTGACAAGCGCGCGAACCTGGAGGAGGAGCTTTAGGTCAAGGACAAGTTCAAGGAGCTGGAGCTCGAGGAGATCCTGATCTTCCCGGCGCTGCAGGCCGACGGCATGAAGGAGGTGCGGCGTCTCAACGAGGAGGCGTTCAACAAGCAGCTGGCGGCAGCCGAGGCGCGTGAGGCGCAGTGGCGGCTGACCAATGACAAGGTCATCCAGAGCTACAACAAGCACGGCGAGGCCGTGGAGGCGCGCAAGCTTGGGGTGGACATCGGTGGCGGCGAGCACGGCATCTATGATGCTGATGAGCTGCACGGGTGGCACGGCGGTGGCGTCTCCAGCGAGGTGTGCGGCGCAGGAGGCGAGCAGTTCAAGTTTGGGGAGTTGGGCTTCAGCATCTACGAGGACCGTGACAAGGAGGAGGAGGAGCAGCCGTTGGAGGATGAGGTGAGCCTCTACGCGGGAGGCGCTGGGATCAGCGAGTGCGAGACGGGCTCGGGCGGGCTGGGCCTGGCGCGGCTGGCCGAGCTCACCCAGATCGAGTTCGAGGACTGCGGTCTCCCACCGGGGGGCTCGAGGGACGCCTTCCTGAAGTGGGTCAAGAAGCACTTCGGCAGCGGCTCCGAGGAGCTGAACTTCGAGGTGGGGGCCCCAGAGTGCGGGTCTGTGCGCTCTGGGGCTTTTTATTAGGTTAGAGGAGCCTCGAGATCCTCCCCGCCTTTCCGTGTCTCCTTCGGCTGGGGGGCCTGGGGGCTGGGTCTGTGGGGGGTTGGGGGGGGGCTTTGGCTGGCCTGTTCGGTCTGGGCCCTTTGTGGCTTGGCGTGGCCTTTTGCGCGGCCGCTCCAGGGTGGCCCCGGGGAGGCGGAGTGCTTCTCGTGTCTGCGGCGGCGCGGCCGTGCGCCGTGGAGCGCTCGGCGAAGCAGCGCTCGCATCGTCAGTGCCCTCAGTACCCTCGCCCTCTTAATCGTCCTCCTCCTCGTCCTCCTCCTCCTCCTCCTCCTCCTCCTCCTCCTCCTCCTCCGAACACTCATCCGTCCGTTGTCTTCCTCGGCGCGTCGTTCCATGGGCTCGCTCGCTCCTCCTCCTTCCCCTCGCGAGGCCACTGCTGCTTCTTCTCCTCCTCCGACGACGAGACGTGCGAGTGACCCTTTGCTGGAGTGACTTCTGGTGCGGGCCCACTGGGGTCCCTCGATCGCCGAACACGATGCGATTGTAGCGGCGTGCGCGCTGGTGTTTCGCCCCCCGCGGCCCCCCAAACGCCGGGCACCAAAGGTCATTTTTACCCGGGGTCGCTCGCACGTGTAGCCGCAGGAGCGGCTCGCCTTCTCCATTCGCCTCCCTCCCGTCCTCCTCCTCCGTGTCCTCAAGCGTCCCCCCCCCCCGGCTTTTTAGGGATCGTCGGGGACTTCGGCGCAGAGCTAGAGGATGATGGCCGCGCGGCAAGAGACAGACCCGCCCTCCCCCTTCATCTCCCTGCTTACCTCCGTCTCTTCTCTACTCCCTCCCTCCCTCCCCCGTTCCATCCGCCCCGTTCGCGGCGTTCTGCTCGATTGTAGTGCTGGTCAAAAAGGGGCGCGCTGTTCTAAATGATCATGGTCCCGTTCCCGATCTTGGCAGTGTCCCCGAGGGTTCAGCTTCGAGCCGTCCCTCCTGTTTGCGCTGCTGTGCCTGGTCTTGGGGGCGCTGTCCCTTATCGCCGCGCCGACCTCGAAGGTGCAGCTCCTGAGGCGGAGAGTGGCGCCGCTCTTCATGATAGCGCCGCTGTACCTGATCGTGGTGTGTTAAAGTCCAAATCGGCCATTCGGCTGATTCTGCTCCTTGCGGACTGGATTCTCTCACCTTTCCAGAATTGCAACATTGTGACGCCCGCATCTTCCATTTTGACTGTATCAATCGTGCGATATTCTGAAAATCAAGCACGTATATTTTACTCCTGAGGGCATTTCGTCAACTCGTTTTCTGCAACTCGTTTTTCTGCATATAAAATCAATGCGAATCCAATATCATGATATGATAAACTGCGTTTGCAGCCAATTTCCAGCGTCAAGATCCTCTTTTTGAGTCTTCTATTATCAACGGGAAAATATTGGAGCAGTGCTCTCGCACCAGCGCCGGCCACACTCGTCAATCAGAAAAATGCGATCGCCTAAACACCGACAAGGGGTTCCTGTCGTTCTCCAGGGAACCACGGAAGAGAGGGGAGGAAGGAAGAGGAGGAGGCGGAGGATATCAAGTGCCGTCAAAACACACTGGCCCAAACCAATACCGTGAACCGACGCCCACCACCTTGGCCATGCCGTGCTGGAGGTGTGGCAGGTGGGCGCGCAGACCAGCGTGGGTCCCGTGCGGGCTCAGCCCCGCCGAGCTGGGTGCTGGCGCCGGCGGCGTCTTTCGCGTCGAGGGCTCGGCGGTCCTCGTGGCATTTTGCCACACGTGCTGGCTGCCTGGGGCTCGTGAACCCCCTATCTGTCTTGCCTCGACTCTCCTCCTTCCCCTCGCAAAGCCCCTCTCCTCCTGTTGCTGCTCCTCCATTCGACTCTTCTCTCTCTCTCTCTCTCTCTCTCTCTCTCTCTCTCTCTCTCTCCGTTTCCACCCCCTCTTCCATCCCACCGCATCCCGAGGAGGCACCCAAGAGAGTCCCAGGAGGGTCAATTGGGCCCTTCTTGGGGCCCTTCTTTCGGGCTGTCTTGGGGCTCTCTCGGGGACCTCCCTGGCTCCCCCGCAGCGGCCTGAGGGCTCCAGGAGGGGCTCGAGAGCGGCCCATTATAACCACCCCTGGGCCCCTCTTGGGGCCCTCTTGTGCCAGTCTTGGGGCCGTTCCTCCTCCACCCCCCTCCTCCTCGCCCAGGTTGTTCGAGCAGCTCGGCGCGACGCTGGTGCAGATCCAGGAGCGCCCAGGCGACGCGTGGAGGAAGGGGGCAGGAGGAGGGAGGGGTGGCAAGAGGATGGGCGAGAGGAAAGGGAGGAGGAGGAGGAGGATGCGGAAGTCCGAGGAAGAGGAATAAGAGAAGGATACGATGACAACGAAACAAGAAATGGGGAGGAGGCGGATGGGGGGAAATGAGGAGGAAGAGTATGAGCGGATGAGCCACTTCCCGAGGTTACCCTTGCATTCTTGCGCCCTCGGCACCTTTCGCTGGCCAGCCCCCCTCGGGAAACGTCAACATGGCCTTCCAAGGCCATTGCATCCTTACCGTGCGCCCTTATCAGACGGGTTGACTGTATGATGTGAATGAAGGACGAAGGGTAAATGATGCAGGATGGGGGGGGGGGGGGGGGGGGCGCCTGAGGCGAGGCGGCGGAGGCGGCCTACAACTGCGTCGACAGGGTGCTCGAGGAGTTGCTCCACCGGCTCCGGGGGCAGGACGACTGGGTGGAGGAAACGGAGGGGTCTTTGTTCCTTGAGGAGGTCGAGGAGTGAGGAGTGAGGAGTGCGGTGCGATGGGAAGGGGGAGGATTAGCTGGGGAGAGATAGCTCAAAACAAGCTCGGTATGGTTTTACTTCATGTTGCTGCTCCTCCCTTCTCCACCTCCTCATCTTGTCTTTCCCGCTGCTGCTTCTGTCCCCCTTATCGTCGTGGAACTCCTCATCTCCTTCTCCTCCTCGTCCTCGTCCTCGTCCTCATCGTTCCCCTCATCCTCGTCCTCCTCGCTCTCCTTCTCCATCCTCCTACTCCTTCTCCATCCTCCGTGGTCCGTGGTGCCTCCCATTGCGTTGCTAGGCGCCCTTGCCCCCCGCAGGACGGCGCTTGGGCGGCGGTGGCGCCGCCGCAGCCACCATGGCCGCGGAGGCGGCTGCTGGCGCGGGCCAGGAGCCTTTGGGCCAACGCTCTTCGGATTCCTTGGATCACTGATCCTGATCACTTCAGCCTGATCACTGATCCAGGATCCTTTAATCCACCACGCGCCCCACCCCTCGATCAGGCGATCGCGATACGATCATGATTGCTGCTCATATCGCAATTGCTTGATCGGGGGAGCGCAGTGGTGGATCATGTTTTGCGTCGCGCCTCCCAGGAGAGGAAGAGACCCCGAGCTGGCCCAGATCCGATGAACCCGCTGGACTTCCGGCGATTGGAGCTG